GGCAGCTGCAGGCGTTGTGAAGTGGGCTGGGGGGGTTGGGCCAGCGATGCAGTTCTCTCGTCTGGTGAACGGAGTCAGGTCCGCCTGGTTTCCCAGACGATAGCCGCCACCAGGGAAGTCGAGCGTCATGCTTACGCCTGCGATAAAATCTCGACCCAAGATCACGGGTACGGCGAGCCCCGGAAGGTACAGAAAGCGCTGACGCCGTTTCTTCTCATTGAATGAAATTTTAAGCCTTGCGGCTCCGTCCGCCGATATTGTTAACCGGAGGCTAACTGCAGACGTGTGTCTGCCAAACGAAAGGTTATTTTTTTTATTTTTGCATAGTTCATAGGCAGCGTCCCCTATAAGCGAGATAGCAGCCCCGGTATCCAAAAGCGCGGCAAAAGGAAAACCGAGCAAAGTGATCGTCATGCGTGGCTCGATCATTTCGCTGTTAGGCTGAATTCGACATACCGATGGAACAAGTGACGCTGCGTGCGTGATCCCGGCTGTGATAGCGGCCATCGGCGGCTCTGCAGTGGGGCTCATTGCCGCCGGCCGTAATAGTTTCCCGATTGGGATGCCACGTGACCTTCCGGATTTTCACGGCCCATAGGCGCGCGAGGGTTGACCGGATTTCCACAATCCCTCCGCTCACTTCCAGCCCTTCCGCCATTTGTTTCGTTCTGCCTCGGGTTTGTATTTGGGCACTCTCTTTGGAAGTGGCCGCGCTGTCCACAGTTGTGGCATTGGTCCGAATACCTGCTTGAGTCGCCGGCACCAGGGCGCTCTTCGGACGTCCTCCAGTGGCCCCGCATTGAACCAAAACTGGAGCGCCTCCGGCTGCTTTGATTGGGCACTCTGTGCCAGTCCCGTGGAGGTCTTAGCGCCGGGATTGCCTCGGGGCCCTGCCAAGCACATGCGGGTTCGAGAGAGTTTGCGGCCAAAGGCGGTGGGAGATAGCTCTTCTGAGCGAGGAAGATCTCCTCTGTGCTGCGGGCATGCCGGGCTAGCTCTTCAATGGTCTCAAAGGTGCGGCCGTGTAGGTACACGTGGTACTTTGGGTGACATTGTCTGAGGACCTGAGCTATAATCTCCGACTCGAAGGCATTAGGTTGTGCCCTTCGTGTGAGTTCCTGCAATGCGCGAACATACTGAACCAGGCTTTCGTTCGGATGTTGCGTTCGGGACTCGAGTTCTTTCAAGATTTGTAACTCGTAACCAGGTGGCAGGAACTCTGCTCGGAATTGCCGCTCGAACTCCGCTAGGCTGGTGAACGTAGGTTGCAGCCTTAACCAGCACGCAGCGCTAGACTTTAGAGCGAGTGGGAGTATTCTGCTTATCACGAGGGATTCCGAGGCGCCTGAGGCGGCTTTGTAGACGTCGAGCTCACCCAGAAAGTCGGCGACTGACTTCACGTCGTTGTAGCCAGTGTACACCGGCACCGTCAGCTGGGGACGCAGCTCCGGCTCACGTGACTGCTGCACGGCGAGACGCTGTGTAACCGCATCACACATGGCTGCCACCTTCAGTAGCAATTCGGCCTGCGCATCCGCCGTGCCTGCTCCGGGATCCACGCTTGCTCCAGGCTTTTCGCCATCCTTCGTCTCGGACCGTAGTGTGGGAGACATGGCGGGAAAAAAACAGAAACGCCAAGCAGACAAGAAAACGTGTGCGGCAACAGGCGGTATACTCCACTCAAGAAAAATAAACACGCCCCCAGAGCGATAAACACGCCCCCGCGTGACTAAGCAATGTTTTGAGGCTCCAATTCAGCGAGCACTCGCGCTGTCGCGAATACCAGCACTACTTGGAGAAGAAACACCGCGGTTGAAAAAACTTACCGAGAGAAGAAACCCAGCCCCGTGTCGTTCCGACAGAAGGGCAGCAAAAGCACGTTGGGCGCCATGTGGTAGGGTTGCCTTGCTGCATGCCCATCCGGGAGGAACAACACGGAGCCGGGGTATCCAAAACGAGAAACTACGTTTATTAAAGTAACAGGAATGAATTGTTAGTATCAAGGTCAAAGTAAAACATTGCCGGAGCGTTCGAACTGCACACCTCCGTGGCCACGGTCCGTCCCCCCCTCTCTGTGGGCGTGTGCCTTCTTTTATAGGCTTTTGTGCTTTTCTATACGTGCGCTATTGCGCGCCTCGGCCGTTGTCCAGTTTGGGCATTCGGCAGCGGCCTCTGGCCTTGGTGGGAGACTTGCTCCCACACGCTCCACTAAAAGAGATCTGATAATATGTGAAGATGCTATTGCCACAAGCATCCTCGTTCGTTGCCTGCAACCTTATCATCTTCTCGAAAACAGGGTGTATTTTTTTCTGTTCCTTTCACCCTATTTTTGTAGTCCAATTTCTAGAGTTGGCCCACTTTATTTGTAAATTCGACCAAGGTTATCTGCATCTCAGTCATCCTTTTTGTGAGTCAGCTTTTTGCGGGCATTTTGAAAATGGTGATAGTCTTCCTTTCTTCTTCCTGTTTTGCCCCAGCAGGACGCGTCTTATCTGAAGCAGATATTTTCACAAATAAAACATAATGGTGGCTGACGTAGACTTGATATTCTGGGCTTGGGGAGAGAGTGAAACTCAAAAGTGGGGCCAGATACTTTTAGTAAAGTATTTGGTGGGGCCATAGCGCGGCCTACTTAGTACTCTGCCCTTCGCTTCCCGTGGCATCAGCGGACGTCTATCTGGAGAACACCGGAGTAAACTGCAGTCGATTCGTGCTCCGTGCGTTTTTGAACGGCACCAAGAAAGGTACACATGGCAAACGTGCGTTTACATTTCATTTTTTTTAACCGACGTTCTAATTAATTTTTGTTTTGAGTGTTTTTTTTTTTTTCGACTACTCATTGATTTACTGGAAACTTTTTTTCTTTATTCACCAACGTCTCAACCGAGGCTAGACCTGTTCAGAACCAAAGGAAGAAAAACATCGAGCCAAACCTTATTTACTATTTAATTGTCACCTTACTGTTACAACTATGTTTTGCTATTGTCTGGCAATATATGTCGGTATAGTAAGATAGACATAAATCAATTATTATTCTCGTTTTGGCTAGATGTATGATGACTTCTACAGCTTTGCGATTTCGAGAATGAAGAATTTTAGTCGATCGGTCCGATGACTCCATTAACGATACCCGATACTCCGCCGCCGCCTCTGCGCAAATGGAACAGGCTGCAACAATAAGAACTTGAATAACCCTCTTCCCTTTGTTTCTTCATTGAGACAATATTGTTGAAAGTAACGCCACGAAAGTAACGGATTACTTTTTGGGGTAGCGGTCACTTACTTTCATGGAAGGGTAATTGTAATTGTAATTAATTACAATTTAGCCTTGAGTAATTGTAAATGTAATTCCTTACTATATTTCAGTAACGTGTACAAGTCTGCATCGGCGTAACCGCGCGTTGCATTATGGGACGTTTCCCATGAAGACGTCGCATGTGACGTCACGAGGGTTATGAGTGACGTCATAAGGGTCACGAGTGACGTCATGAGGGTCACGAGGGAGGAGGAGAGAATGTTTTCCGCTAAATTTAGCTGAAAAAATTCTACCTAGATTTAGCGGAAAAAAATCGCCGCTAAATTTAGCGGGAAAAATTTTCCACTAAGTTTAGCGACAAAAACATTCCCCGCTAATTTTAGCGGGGACATTTTTCCGCTAAGTTTAGCGGGGAATTTTTTTCGCTAAGTTTAGCGGGGAATTTTGTTCGCAGAATTTAGCGTGAAATGTAGCAAACATTTTCCACTAATTGGGAGGGAAGCAGGAGAGGAGGGGAGTGAGGAAAAGTAGCGTTCAGGCAAGTAGCGTCTCAAACTTATAGTCGTGCTACTTTCGTTGTCGCCTGGCCTCAGTCTTCATTGCGGACGAGTATCGTATACAAATAATATCAGATCTTGTTCTGGAAGCAACTCGAAAGAAGTAAAACAATGCGCTTGCAATAAATTTCCATGACGCTTCGCGAAATTACACTGAAAGTATTCATAATAACGTATATAACGAAAAATGCGAGAATGTTCGCTGGCTTCTAGCAAAACATGCGTTGTTCATTTGCGTAAATGCAAGGCTAACAATTTTTTTTTTTTCTTTCAAATATCAGGCACTTTTCCTTTTGGACATTTTTTCTTTTACACTTTGCTTCATCCTTAACGAATGAAAGTCAAGCCTGCAAACGCGACGCAGCATCACGAAAGTTCGTGCTACCGATGTGCATGGTAAGAATACGTACGTAACTTGGGCTTATATGTCACTCTGCCAGTTGTCCTATAGTCTATGGGGAAACGAAGTGTAAAACTCTATAATCAAACACACGGTCCCTGTCCGAACGTATTTGCCAACTCCCAAGGCAATCGAAAAAAAAAAAAAAAAAGTCAGAGTCACGCTATTTAAAAAAAAGAAAAAAGCTTCTGTTGAAAAAGAAAAAAACTTGTATTTCTGAGGGGCCTTGTTTTTGGTGATTATTTTCAATTGTATCATTGTTACAAAATTTAAGTATAGGCGGAATTCGAAAGACGATTACATATGCCTGCAAAACGACTACCCTCTGGCTAATAACTGTCCTCTGCAGTTTATTGATATAAAAAAATGTTGTGTTTTATATAAAAAAAGGGGGGGGGGGGGGGTGTAGGTGGAGAAGGTTCAACCGAGTGGCGTTAAAAGCGCAAGTCGCTGAGCCTTTTTCTGCCCATGATTGGCTCAGCGATGGTAGGAAACGTACAGAAACATGACGAAAAACATGATGGGGCACTTTTGGTACTGTCTGATCTCTTCCATCAGCTCGTTGCGTCGGCTGCGTCTGGTCTAAAGCTGAAACGAAGTGTGCCTTGTTTTCTGCTATCTAGAAGGGATTGATGCATTGCCGCTTTCTCCCCTTGTGGGTTATCTTTCGCCCCGACGATGATTCGGAAAAGAAGTCATATTCTCTCTCTCCTTTATCAGCACGAGGAAAGAGAGGGGTACACAACGCTTCCACTCTGATAAAGACTGCTATCAACGACCCTGGGCGTTGGACTTGGAACTCGTAGCTTTGTGTAGAGCGTCAGTTGTTCCCTCCACGCTTTCAGTGTGATGGCCGTTGTTGGAAGACTCGTTGCCTGTGGCACCGCCCTGGACTGGACGCGCGTAGAATTCCAGGAGGCGCTTCCAAATAACCTAACATGCAACCTTTGCGGGGTTATTTCCATGAGATGCATGCGCTTGTCTTGCGACCACCAGTTCTGCAAGAGCTGCTACGGCCAGATCGTGAGCGAACAACGTCCCAGATGTCCTTTCGATCGGAAGGACTTCCAGAGCCATCCGGTAAGGTGTGAGCAACTAGACATATCCCGACTCGACTACTGTAAAGTGCGTTGCCTGAACGCGAACCGCGGCTGCGAGTTTGTGGGTACTTTCAAAAGCCTGCAGCAACACGTCGATCAAGACTGTCGGTACCACGTAGTAAACTGCACAAGATGCGGACAAGAAGTGATCCAGGGAAAGTTCCTGGCTCATTTCTCGGGCAAGTGCCAAGCTTCACTTGAGGTACCGAGCCGGGCTAGCGCAGCTGCCGCTCTACAAGAAGTGCGGAGGACAAGGAACCTCGTTGAAAGTGCCGTGGACGCTCTCGCCCAAGCAACACGCGAAACGGACGACAGCATCAACTCTGTCCTCGCGTGCAGTAGGGCGTACGTCCAGGTCGTAAAAGATCTCCAGGGATTTCTAGGAAACTGTGTGCCCCAGATCAAGCAGACGGAACGCGAGATCTTGCAGAGCGTCGGTGACTGTGCCGCGTTCGTGCTCAAAGCCGACGGCGTGGACCGCGCGCGCTGCCCCCTCCGATGCTTCAGCGCCAAGCTGAGGAGTCGGTCCCAGTACCTGAGTGACAGCTTCAAGGTCGGCGGGTATTCACTCCAGATCAGCCAACACTTCAGCTGGGGCATCAGTGAATCCCTAACCTGGATGTACTTGTCCCTGATCGTTTCGAAGAGCAGCAGCGACAGGAACTTGGTGTGGCCTCTTCGAAAAACCTTCTGCATTGTCCTGGAGCACCCCGAGGACTCTTCGCAAAACGCGAAACATGCGGTGATGCCGACTGAGGTGGAAGACGCTGATGCCCACTTCGAGAACCTACGCACCAACGGCGCCAAACCACCGACTAACCGCGACATGTGCTTTAAGGTATCTCGGCTTAGAGACGAGGGCTTCATTCTTGACGACGCTCTGCGCGTAACGGTTGAAGCTGAAGGCTGAAATGTTACTTGCACTTACAACTTTACCGAGCATCGAGCCCCAGTATTTCTTTATTATTATTATTATAGATTTTTTGGTATGATGCTTTCGCTTTGTACAACATTCAAGAACTTCTTCGATTCTGTACAACCGATCACATTTTGATTACATTGCTTGTATTTCCATCTTGCATAAGAACGGAATCTTATCTTAATATACGCCACACTAATATGTTGCACGCTAATGATCTTTTTTAACTTTTATTGTTACGCTTGATTGTGAAAGGTGCTTTGTTCCACCAACCCGCTAAAAAGATTGCAACACGACAAGTTGCCTAGCCGCATGCTTTATGTTCAGGAATAAAATAAATGTATTTTTTAAACCAAGAGTGCGATAAGGCTGAGTTGGCGTTTAAATTCAGGATGCGATAGGCTGTTATGGCAAAGGTTCGCAAATATGCATATATTTCTTGTTTTAATGGGTTTTCATTTGAGCTCCAGTAAGCGCATAACCGCTCAAAGACTAGAAGTGTGTGAATACCGGTTCCAAACAAATAGCAAAGTGGCATTCTTACCTTTAACAGTGTAAAAAAAAAATTGTTTTCGCGGCTTCCCCTTTACTGTGAAAGCTGCGAATGGGACGCAGTGCTATTCAATTCGAACCGAATTGAACAAGTATTGGCGCACACCTATAGAAGTCAAGTCGTATCTCATAGAGAGTGTCTGATGTAGAGTAACTAAATAGCGTTACCCGGCCGTTACTCACTAATAAAGCAACGAAGTCCGTTACTCGTTACTGCGATTCAAAAAGAACTTGCCACCTCAGATTGAAAGTATAACGCGTGCTTTTCTCGTTAATCTGAATGTGTCGCTTTCTATAAGGCAGTAGCCGCCTCCAATATGCGTCGTAGTTAATAATTTCTCACTTTTTAACGCGTTCATTCGGGTATAACTGTGGCTATACTGACATACCTCTTGCACATCCTTGTATCGTCTATCTAGCATTTGCTCGTCGTGCAAATGACAGTCGCGAGCTCGTGTAAGAACTAGGTTGGGTATTTGCGTTGTAAACGCTCACATCCAGAAGTTACTAGATACAGTAGCTCTTTAGCTCACCGGAAAATAACAAAAATACGTCAATCATTCTTTGTATGAAGAAGTACCTACGTCATTACATTGGTAAAGAAAAAAAAAAGGAACGAGGTACAAGTAATTCGTTATCTGCGAGACTTCCTTTTACTCGTGGTGACACGAAGTATATTCTCATTACTGCCTAGCCCCCGATGAAAACAAAAATACTTCCTGTGACTGACTGTCCGTTGAGCAAACAATCATGCCATGTCGTAGACGACCCAAGGGAAACAGGGAAGATGGAAAGGGAGCAGAGTAAACATAACAATCTTCAAAGGCCGAGGCAAAAACAAATACAGCGGAGACAACCAGGAACAAAATCGCTGACCTGCTGTTGACAGATCATGAAAGGGAGGGCAGAACTAGGAACGCTACGTCAACAATCAATACTGTAGAGACGTGCTCTCTTTTTATATACATACTTTCATTGGGTTAAGGACAATTTGCTGATGCTGAGATGAAAGGCGAAAACCAGGCATCCGACCTACTATAATAGGCAGGTCAAAGAGAAGACTCGAGGGCTTCAGCCTTCAACTCATAGCACTTGAAGCGCCTTCCGCTATTAGTGGCGAGATGTTTCGGTGGCGCCCTCGTTTGGTTACCTTTCGTGACGTCATTACCTTGTGAACAACAAGTTCGATGGTGTTTGTAGTGAGCATGGTGAAAGCCCGAAGTCATAGCGCTCTTAAAGCAACACTTCCCGCACCGTCAAAATTGAAGTTCTTACATTCCTCTTATTTGCGTCGATGATCATTCCTTTGCTGACGTCATAGTCAGCATTCGGCCAATTGTGGTGGGCCGACCACAGCGACGCGTTCGATCGCTCACGTCGCCGATACACCAACCCATCTTTTAGACGCCACGCCGCTGTTGTGGGTACTGCACATGCGCGGACGCTTCCGCTTACGCGGTTTTTGCCCACACGCACAGTGCTCATACCGGGCTTGGTTGAAAGCATCGGGTTGGTCTATTCCACTCTTATGCCCGAGTCCCACTAGAGCGACAGCGACAAGACTCAAACTCAAGCAGCAAGCTCGCGATGGTACCTTTGGCAGGCGTTTAGTCGTTCGGTGGTGGTGAAGTAAGCACGAGTGATTGCGAGCCTGCCAAAGATACGCTCGCGTCCATGATGCTCGTGTTTGAACATAGCCACCTTTTTTCTACAAAGCCTCTCAAATCGCGAAAGACTCTGGTTTGATGCTTGTCTTAGTCGTTTGTTTCTGTTTGTCGCTCTAGTAGGACTCCGGCATTAGACGCGCTGGCTTGTTTAATTTTCTCAGCAAGCGAGTGATGAAGTGGACGTCTGATTGAAAAACACTAACTGGGCGTGAACACTGGAAAAGCGAAGCGTCATACTTGTGTCCATATACATTGCGTTTCTAGGCCATATCGTCCTTTTGTAGCGGTGTGCAAGTGCTGGATCAAATCGAACAGCTCCAAGTCATTCATAGCCTCCCAGTGCTATAGACCAACTCATAATTACAAAATAACCGCAGCGCCCCTAGCGGACGCCCCCGGCACCGCGCATGCGCGATGGAGTGTGGGCAAGAAGCTCGCCGTCGCCCGTAAATAAACCATTGAAATGCGATGTTGTTGGCGTCGGTGTGAGTCCCCTTGCCCTTTTTCGCGTTCGAATGGTTGATTCTACGTTTTCCTGGCAATGTCTGACTACTTGAGCGGCCTCAGCGAAATTATCGAGGCTCGTTACACCAAGAAACTTCGCGTTAATAATGTGACATGCGGTGATTCATTCTGCGTGGACGCCGCAGAATGGACGCTAAAGCCTGATTGGCATCATGCGATTCCGCTCACAATTTTCAGTCGCGACGTCGTTCGAGCTACAAGAGACTGAACCGTAGCTGAGATGGTCGACATCGATACTGAAAATCGCAAGCAGAATAGGACCAAGTGAATCAGGCATAACAAGTCGGTGATGGCCACTGATAACAATTATCAACATCTCCTTGTTTCTACTGTTCACATCGAGCCTGCTTGCCAACCTTCAAGCTTAAGTCTTTCGAGGCCTGCACTTACTTCTTATCGCAAGTGGCAGAGTCCTCCACCGCTCGCTTCAGAATAAATCAGTTATGGTCGCTGCACAATTATAGACACGTTTATCGGCAATCAATAGTGCAGCAGGCTTTTGCCTCGCCTCGCTTAAAACCGAAAGTATGAGTGATGATCTCGACACGTCTTGATCGTCTTCTCATTCTGGCCGGAGTTCTTAAGCCCGTAGAGACGCCGTGATTGTTGACATGGCCTCGTCTCGCGAATCGTATAGTGGCTTGTTGTGACTCGATCTCATACCATTCGATTTGTACTCAACGTTACTAAATCGGATAAGTTGACAAGCTCCGAGAAAAAGGTGACGCGCCGCCATTCACTGCCGCGTAGCAGCGCTCGTATCCAAGCCCGCCCGATCCGTTCGGTCTGGCTGGCCTCGGTACCCGTGGATACGCCGTAAAACATCGTGTTTGCGGGGGTTCACAAAGCCTATTACTAAGGGCTGTTGCCAGTGTGATAATGTCCGGATCGAGACAACATTTTCTGGGACTTTTGAGGTAAATTCACGCCCGCCGGGCCTTCTTAGTTTTGACAGTTACCCACATTCGGCATCGAGGCAAGCAGCTCAGAAAAATTGCTGCGTCTATCGTTCGTGGTTTCCGGCACATGAACCGTTGTGTTTTGGTCGTTTGCGAACTAAAATACCACGAACTTCCCTCTTCTGGTCTTCCGTGTTTCTGTCGGAAGTTCAAGCGTAAACAGCTACATACGTACCAAAGCCGCCTTAGGAAGGATTGACAATTTGAAGACGTCTTTGTCATTCGAAAGAATCGGGCTGTTTTTGCATTTGTATTCGGCTACGTCGAGGCCTGATACTGGTGAAAACAACTCAGTTATTCCTCTCGTTTGTTCTTTACGTGTGTGACAACCTCTCTCCCTTGCATGTGCGGGCCATTTCGGAGACGCGTGACTGAGAGGTAAGGATTTCAAGACATCACTTTCGATCAGCTGCTGATCAGCGTTGGGTATTTACGTGTGAACGTGCGGTAGATATTAGAAACGTTTTTTTACAGTACCTGCTACAGCTTCACGGCAACAATGCACGAATTGTGAGACACCCTCGTTGACTACGTGAAACGAGTTCATTTGTGTAAGCGTATTCGTGCTCCATGTGCTTGATAGCAACATGCTTGCTTGTTGATGTGCTTATAAGCGCCCGTTAATTTAAATTTGTTTTATCTTAACTACTATTTTCTTAACGTTGCAGTTGTCCATAAATGATAATTTTTGTTTTATTGATCTCGTGACGTTTCTGCGATCTATTTCAAGCCAGAATAAAAAACATATTTAGCTACCCTGAGAACGCGACATAGGAAGGCTGGGGTACAAAGACCATTTTTGAGAACTGCAATGCCTCTTCTTTGTAACGCAAACACGCAAATGCTCTTCTACGCGAGATACATCAATCGAGAGATGACGGAGAAAGTGGAAGTAGCAAAGAAGAAAGCTCGGGTCCTCTGATCGCCAACTACAGGTATCTTCAATCTTGGTGTTTTGCATTCTGCTTGAGATTTTTTTTATGCAAAAGGAAACAAACGTTGCACAGTATTCATCTGCAATTTTAGCCTTGCCGAATATCTCTTTTTCTTTTTTTTTTTTGTACACTCCCAGTGTAGGTACTGACATCTTCAGTTTTGCTTTGTTTATAGGACTAATTTGGGCCCTTGCCTTATGTGATAACAAGACTTAAATGGGCACCGCTCCTACGAGAGCAAGCGAACTGCTGTGTTTGTTCACCAATTCACGCGGGAATTATTCAAGCTCAAGATTTCTTTAAAAAAGGGGAAAATCTCTTCATATGACAGTGCTTTGTTTCTAGGGGATTCTTGATAGCAGCAGTCTAAAAAAATACTTGTAGTCGAATGGAGATTTTTTCTGAAAGCAAAAATCTCAAGCTCTTAGCTTTATCTTTGACCGTTCCTCTGCTGAGCGAGAGTTTGTGCAGCCGAACTGTGTCCTTGAGCGAAGTGCTCGTGCTGGCAGCCCAAAAGCGAAATTGTGGTACAGGTGACTAACGTGACAAAACATGGGGAAGCAAAATATAAAAGAAGACACAAGGCAAATGAAAACAGAATGGTAACTGTGTGGATACGTTATAAGAGCAAAGCTATGTTTCAAGCGGAAATAAATCTGCAACATGATATCATCATAGCGCATGCCATTTCTTGCGCTCAAGGTATGGGAACGAGTGC